GGAAGGAAGGAAGGAAGGAAGGAAGGAAGGAAGGAAGGAAGGAAGGAAGGAAGGAAAGAAGGAAGGGAGGAAAGAAGGAAGGGAGGAAAGAAGGAAGGGAGGAAGGAAGGGAAAGAAACACTTGATCTGAGGCCCCAGAGATAAGGCCACTTTCTGGGTAACTTCCTGCTGGGGAAACGAAACTGAGAAGAGCTAACAATTAGTCAGCAGAGCCAGGGGTGGAGTCTCGGAGATTAGAACACAGCTGAACGCTGTCAGAGAGACCTGTGTCCGGGAGGTTTCGGGTCCTCGGTTGATGGGGGAGCTCCAAGGTGTTTAGCGTCATGCCGAGGTCCTCCCAGCTTGACTGGATTTTGATGTCCTGACCTTTAAAGCCCGGCGTGAGCCTTCCAGACACCCTCCTCCTGCACGCCCCTCGCCTTTGTGAGATGCCAGGGAGCCCCTCGGAGCCCTTCCCACTCTGCTTGGCTATGTCCTTCCGCCTGTGTTTGGGGTTCTAATTTCCTCCTTCCCCCCATCCCATGTTTCTTTCAGGGGGTCTCGTAGGGTCCAGCAACATGACTAATTATTCCCATCTCCTTGCTGTTATTTCTAGAGGCCTGGGTAGAGTGGAAGGCGTGCGCATAGGAGCAGCCTACCATCGGCATCCAATCTTGGCCCTCTGCTCTCTACTTTCCAAAAAGTCCTCAGATGTCCTGGCCCCTCGATGGCTCTCTCTCTCAACTTCCAGCCTGTGGACCTGCGTGATCCTTGAACCCTACCTTTGTGGCCCGGCCAGAGCGGCCCGGTTGGTTGAGCGTCGCCCTGTGCGCCGAAAGGTTGCCGGTTCAGTCCCCGGTCAGGGCACATAGCTGGGCTGTGTGTTCAATCTCTGGTTGGGGCACATACAGATGGCAACCAATCAATGTTCTCGTTCACATCAATGTTTCTCTCTCTCCCTCCCTCCTTCCCTTCCTCCCTCCAAGCATGTCCTCAAGTAAGGATTAAAAAGAAATTTAAACATATCTTTGCTATCACTCAGTCCACCATCTCAAACATAAGATTTCTAAAGTGACCTGTGGATCAGGAAGATGACTGTGATTAACGGGGAAGCATGGTAATCATGGCTTTATGGGTGAAGGCACCTGGCTTGAATTCCCTTCCCAACCTCTAACCTGTATTCCGGCCTTCCTCCTATACTTGAACACCCCCAGTGACGTGGCACTCACCACTCAAAATAAAAACTGTACACACTGGTAGCCTACCATCGCTCCCTCTGGCCTCTGAAATTCTCACCCTCTGACCCCCACCTATCATCTCCTTTCAGGCACCGCAGACTTCAGGAAGCTCTTGTCCAGGTTAATTGTTACTTGAGGTTTACTCAGAAGCATAATAAATGCTGGATCCTTGAGTGGTGGGGCAGAGGCCTAATGAGTTTCTGAGTGAGACAGGGAGGAGGGGTGGACTCTGGCACCTGCCAGTCCCAGAAAGAGCTCAAGGGTGCAGATTGCTCAGCTGGGTGGAGGAACAACAGGGAAGCAGCTGAAAGGCGAGTCCAGGGCGTGAACACAGAAACGGCCATGGGCTACCCCGGGCGTCCACTCTGGTTCTGCACCAGTCCACCGGCATTCCAGTCCCGTGGCTTTGTAATGCTTTCAGGCGTGAGGCTGTGTGAAAGGTGCCACTCTAAACTCACTTTCCTTTCTCATTTCTCCTCTTTAAAAAAAAAAAAAAAAAAATCTTAATTCTTAGACACTTCAGAATGATGTGTTTGAAATTTTAAAACATCGAATTTTTATTGGAATTGCATGAAATGTGTAAGCTATTTCGGAAGAGCTGGTCCCTGTAAGAACAGAGTGAGCGGGGAGAGTTCGGGGGCTGAGCCAGTTTGCATCCAGCCTGACAGCTTTCCCAGGTGTGTGACCCTGGAGATGCCCAGAGTCTCTGCCCCTTCAAAGCGGTGCGATGGCAAGAGCGGGGCACATGCTTATTGGAAGTAGTAAATGCCATGACGTTTGCAAAGCGGTGCAGGACACTCTGGAGCTGTTCCTTATTTATTGGTGGTGTTCAGGGCGCAGGCTCTAGCGGAGAGCAAGCTGGAAAGCTCTCTCTGTGGGAATCTCCTGACCATTTCTTTTTTTTCCCCCCCCCAGAAATCCCGCGCGTCGCTGCCACGCTCTGGTTACCCGACTCGGTGCCAACGCTGTGCTCTCGG